CCGATGCCTCTTGCTTAATTGCCTTTCCTTTTCCTTTGTTCGTAGGACAGTTCTTTGCCATATGCCCGATCTTTCCACATTCAAAACATTCTCCTTTTTGCCGTCTTGATTCTTTGGAGGATTTTGTTTTCTTCCTGAAAACCTGTAGGGTATCGTCTTCAGAGTTGTTGGAGATTTTGTGTCGTGGCTGGCTGTTCCTACTAGAGGAGGTCTGTGTTTTGTAGGCCTTGGTCTCATGGAGAATGGCGTCCTTTCGTTCTGCTCTTGCAATTATTACTGCAATATCATCGCCATCTTCCTCGAGTGGTTCTACATCTCGCCGGAGGGTAGGATGCATGGTGTCGTAAAATCGTCGCTTCAGGATGTATTTGGAGATACTTCCTCTCTCCATCCGGTCCTTATACATTATTAGGTCCGTAGCCACATCGGTGATTCGCTTGACATGCGTTCCGTTAACTTGCTGGAGCTGGTTGAATTTGTTGTATAGGAGATAGTTAGTTATAGAGGATTGGAATCATCCTTTCAGGTAATCGAGAACTGTATATCCTCTTAATCTTACATTCCCGCTGAAATCCTTATAGCATTGGTGGTATGTGTCGGTTGCCTTTCCTTCGCAAAATGATCCAATGATAAGTCCGGTTGTAGGGTCTTCCACATCTTTTCCTTGTAAGCGTAGGCAGTGTGAGAGTTCTGTTGCCCATCGGTCAAAGGCTTCAGGTTTGAGGTCCTTTCCTTCTCCCGTGAACTTTGCTGGGAGGGGGAGTTTAAACTTAGGGGGTTCAAATGCTGCGGGTACCTCCTCTTCTTCAGGCCTTGCCCGAGATTTCCCTCCTCCAGAAGGCCCTCCTCCTGTGCTAGCCATATCTGATTCGCTACTGGATTCTGGGTCGATTGGAGGTTCAAAGGAAGGTTTCTTTGCTGGAGAAGAAGGGAATTCTCCTGGAGGTTGTGTATCTTCCGTGTTTGCAGGATCGTCCGGCTCTTTAGCAGAGCGCCGGGGTTGTTTCTTTCTTGTAAGGTCTTGCCGTGGGATTTGCTTCCCACTCCTGGTCGTCAAAGACTCTATCTTGGGTTTGAGATGAAGCCGAATGTGCTGTGATTCTGCCGCTTCTCTCCGCTAGCGTTCTAAGGTGGATATCGATAGGTTGATCAGGCCTAAATCTGGGGACAGGTTCTTAACCACTTGCTGAGGTTAAAAAAATGTAACGTGTTCGCAAGGTGCTAATCACGTTATCGGTGATAGATACGATAGTTGGCATGTGGCCTGCTCTTCCAGAGAGGAGGCGAGAGCTGAAAACTAAAGGAGGCTTCGAGGGTGTACTGAGGAACAAAGAAGTAACCGTTCAACCAAGTATATTGAAATACTGTCTGTCGAAGTCTGCCTCTTCGATCGTAGAAACAGGCGGTCTTTAAATACACAAATCTGTTCATGTCTAGCATGAACGAAACTAATCAAAGGTATCAATCGATACACTTTGGTAAAACTCTTTAAGTATCAAAGCGATACTTAAAACAAAACATAAAACAAAAACCAAGTATCAAACGATACTTAAAACAAACCAAGTATCAAGCGATACTTAAAACAAAACATAAAACAAAAACCAAGTATCAAACGATACTTAAAACAAACCAAGTATCAAGCAATACTTAAAACAAAACATAAAACAAAAACCAATAACCAAGTACCCGTACCGGTTACATCAACTATCATATAGGTAGTGTCGACATCGCAGATCAACTTCAGAGCTATTACTGTACTCTGGAGACGGTTTCCCACAATTGGTATCCATTGTTTTATTGGCTTCTAGATACCTCTATTGTGAATGCCTATAGTTTGCTGAAAACCCAATATCCTCACCTTAAGGACAAAAGTCAATACTACCTATTCCGAATGAGATTAGCTAATAAGCTAATCAATATTAGCTTAACCGAGCGTTCGGAATCATTTGAGCTTGCAGAGTCTGAGCTGCCCGGTCCCCCTCCCAGAAATAGTGTCCCCGATCAACACTACCACTCTATACCTTTCTCTCCTCCTCCAGATACCCATATAGGTTCACCCTCTACTCCCTACCTAGTACCACCACCACCTTCTCACTACAATCATGCTGGCTCTGAGCGCATACTTTATATTTCTGCCCGCTTAAAGCCTCCTGAACCAGTACACTTCCCTCCTCCCTCTGCCCACTCGTATGAGTAACAGCCAACTCAGACCCGGTGTGTTTTATGTCGATGGAAAAAGGTGACCGGAGGTAGCTTAAATGTTCGGTCAGTAAATATACGTTGTAGAGAATTTAACCTTTCCTTATGCCGCGCGTGTTTTACTTTATTTCACTGTAAATAGTGTCTTCTATTTTATATCAGGTGTCTTTACACCTTACGCGAATAGGCTAGTGTTCCAGATTTGAAAACAGACCGGAATGTCTTAACGGGTTATGGGATACACCACCACTAATAATAGGAGTGTGCCCAAGTATGATATGATACTGCAGAGAGGAGGATAACCCAAGATTTCACATCAATGCTACAAGAGCCCTAATGGAACAAAAAATGTGATGACTGCAGGGCGATGGAATTCCTCTTCTCCGTCATGTAGTATATTTTTCTTCTCCTCGAGTTTCTATGGATATTACCTCCTACTCGAGCACCATTGACCAGCATGACCGTGAAAATTTCATGCCGCCAGTCAGTTTCTAGGACTAGGCTGAATTGGGACACCTCAGCTTTCCCCCTCAGTATTCCTGAGCGACTATCAGCGTAGGTGTAGTCATATAGCTAATATTGTATATTAGTGAGGTGTGAAGGCTACTTTATTTACATCCTCAAAATTCTGGTAGTTGGTTTTTTTTTTTTTTTTTTGTTAAATCGTAGAATCTATTTACTTAAAGGTGCAAACCTTCACTATAAGAGTACAGTCCGGCCAAAGTATGGATCCTAGATACAAGGACATCTCTGCAATAACCGCCCCACACCCCTGATTTAGTCCTTTGACATGCTGGTCAAAAACCTCCTCCACAGGCCTAGGAGAAAACAAGCCAGCCCAAGTTGCTCTGGTATGTGATCAACCGCACATCCGCCCCCATGAAAGCTCCATCCACACAAAACAAAAAAAGCACAAAACAGGATGGGCAGGAGCCAACAAGAAAACCCACACCGTATTCTCTTGAGAAAGGAAACACATATGAAACCCAATAAAGGAAACCACCTTGATAAACCACATTTCCCATATTTCAACTAGTCCAGCCTTGACTAGCAGCTAGGAATATAGGGGAGCACCATGATGCATTCCCTTCCTGTGATGAAGGCAACCAACTGTCATGAAAGTGGCTTGGCATGAAAAAGGTTCCATGTGACATAAGT